TGTTTTGCGGTGCTCCACGGGCTGCCGTGTGCGGGGCCCCGTGCTGGCAGGAGACCAGTGCGCGGCCTCACGTGCCGTGGGTTTTCATTTAATAGTGGAGCAAAACAGTAGCAGTCGGGAGGGTGAGGTTTGCTTCCCCCAGTGAAGAGATCAAACTTCCTCCGAACTTGTAACTAGATCATTAGCACTGAAGATCCAATTCTCTTGTTTTCCAGGATGCGTTACGTCGCAGCTTACCTTCTAGCGGTCCTCGGTGGCAACGACTCTCCCACGTCAAAGGACTTGAAAAAGATCCTCGACAGCGTTGGCATTGAGACAGACGATGAACGCATGAACAAGGTGGCATTGCCTCTTAATTCCAGACGGTCATGTGCCAGTCAGCATCAGACATTGGAGCTGTTCCCTCGGCTTCAGTGTTTCCATAGTTGCCTTGCTGTTGATCTAGTCTTATTTTGTTCAGACGTTCGCTGATCATTACATGTGTGATTTCTAAAACGCTGCTTAACCAATCAGAACTATTTTTACAACGTTTTTGTAGAAGTCTGGCTTCCTGATTTAACACCTATTCTCCGCAAAGATCTCTGTCAGTTGTTGCTGACTTCTGACTGTTCAGTCTAATAATTTTCAGTGGGATGGTGGCTACAGATGAGTATGTATTGAAAATAAGTTCTGTTCTGACATAATGTATAGTTTGCACTTAATGTTTAATTTTGGCTTTTGGTCATTATTGATTTAAAGCTAACGCTTTTGAAGGCCTGATATTCAGTAATAAGTTCTTATATAGTGTACTGCAAAGAAGCATTTGTTCCTTCACCAAGAAACATAGGCAAATTATAGCATGGGCATTAAAGGTATTCAATAATAATACGTAGGAAGATTTTGGAAATTAATGCTGAAATGGTTGTGTTGAAAAACAGGCTTTTTAAGAAGAGAGTGTCTTAATTAGAATGTTTCTAGTGATATAATAGACTTTCAGTCTTGGGACTTAAAAAAAAATGGCCGTGGAAAAAAAAAAACCCAAAAATGGTCTTATCACCTGGCCCATACTTGTATGCGGAGTGTTTCCCGAGAGGTGGAGGAAAAAACAAGTTACTTTCCCAGCTGGAGACAGTGTTTCACCGTAGACCTGACCAAACGATGGGTTGACTGAGTTGACAGCATCCTTATTATGGTGTGGAATGTTGGTTTGAACTCATGGTGCTCCTGTTCAAACACCAGGTCTTTCGGCTTTGGTTTGTTTATATTTGTTTAGTACCTTCATAAATTAGTTGTTTTCTCTGATCCTCCAGTATCCGGACAGCTCTGGAACTTGTTTTGGTCATGATTAATTAATCCTTTTCTATTTGCATTGGCTGTATCTTAATGCCAGTGTAAATCTAGTGAAGTCTTAAAAAACGCCTTCCTTCAGGTGAAGCAAGCGCACAGGCACGGCATTTCACACATCTGTGTAAGTAGGAGGTGCCTGTTGAAAAGCTCTTGGTTAAAGTCCTCTGGCTTTGGTGAGTCTTCAGTGTTCAGCACTGACTCCTGGTAGCAGGGACTCACCAGTCAGGTCTGTGGCATTCTCCCTCTTTTTTTTTTTTTTTTTTTTTTTTAAGTGCTTGCTTGCTTTAGCAATTTTTGGCCTTGTGTTTTGCTTTCTTTATCCCTGGCTATACAACAATGGTAGTAAAATTGAAGCTGGGACTCTCTGTTCCAGTGCAAGGATACAACAGCCAGCTTGGCTGTCACATTTGGTAATGCTAGGATCAGGACCCTGTGGTTTTTGGTCTAGGGCTCAGTGCTTCAGAGCCTCCCAGTGGGTATTAAGTAAGATACGTTAACAGTCCCTCAGTGACTAACAGACCATTAGTGGGGTTTCCTAATTGGCTCCACAACATCTGTGTATCCTTCTTTCTGCAAGGTCCTTGGATTCATTATGAATTTATTGTAACAGATTTCATGAAAAAGCTTTCACAGAAAAGTATGAAAGACTTAGCTGAAGTTTTCATTTCAATGTCCTGTTCCTTCCACTGAGAAATAAGGAATGTTGGGACTGTATAAGCAGTGGGATGGAGGCATCACACATGATGATTAACCAGTATTTGTTTAAATGTAGCTTATACTCATGCTGTTCCGAAACTATTAACATTCTAAACTTAATTTACACAGGTTATTAGTGAGCTGAATGGAAAAAACATCGAGGATGTCATTGCTCAGGGTAAGTACAGACTCTGAGTGTCACAGATAATTGCCTCTACTACTTTGGTAACTTAGACCTGAGAGCGTAGAATTGCTGCCAACTCCCTGATTATTCATCAGTTTAGCTTTGCGGTTGACGACTTCCATGCTGGATCTCAGCTGAAATGACTGAAATCCAGGTCCATTGTAATTCCCTGCAGGTCGGTGCCAGTACCTGCTGGGTTTCGCTTGTGGACCACATTAAACTGGAAAACTTAAGCATGTATGAGCTTACTGGTAGTCTGCTCATGATGTAGTTTTCTGGACACATTGATCGGAGAAAGAATTAGCTGTCCTTCAAGCTCTCTGGGAGATTTTTTCTTTGTGTTTACCCACTTATATGCACCAATCATGTAAAACAGGAAGAACAGACTGTTAAATGCAACTAAGTGTCAATTCATATTAAGGGTACAGTTACACCCTCTGCGATTAACACAAGCCTCTCCAGTACACATCTATTCTAGAGCTCCTCAGGTCTGGCATTTCCTTTTCTCTACGGTAGGACTCCGAGTGCTGACTTGTGCTCTTACCTGCTGGCTCTTACCAAAGCTGGAACTTTTAACATTAATTGACTGGGTCATAGGGCTGAAATAAAGCAGAGCTGAGGTAGTGCAAAGGTTTCTGATGAATTAATTTCTATTTTTTTGTAAGTGCGTAGGCACAAGGGAACTTTTGGGCATATAGTTGCTTAAAGGTTGCCAGGACTTTGCCTGGCCTTGCTGTTACAAGCAGTAACTGGACATTTCTATCTGTGTGGTCTGAAGACCTAACTGAGTCATTATGCATGTGCTTACAACACACTTATGCTATCTCTTTCAGTAATACTTTAAGTAAATTGTTTCCTAGAACATACTGACATGCATATGAAACATGTTTGTTTACTTGGCTAGTTTATTAGAGCTTGAAGTAACAGGGAATTATTTAGAAACTGATTCCCAGAAATCAGAATACAGGCAAACATACTGTGTACGTGACCTCTGAATGCCAAGGGAACCTTGGTATGTGAAAGGCAGATGCCAGAGAACTAGCTAGCTTTCCAAAGACGAGCATAAATCAGAAGTCAGTTGGCTAATCTCAAAGGAGATGCAATAGGGTTCATAGGGTGCTGGAGAATTTGTTGAAAATACTGTACTCTTTGCCATAAATACATCCTTCCCCCCACCCCCTTCTCTCCTGTAAGTGTGATCCAGTTACGCACTCACAGTTCTCTATACTGTTAAAAGCTGGGGAGGAAGCCAGTGCTGCCTATATGTTATTTTTGAGGTATATTGAAATTACCAATTTCTGGGCTATTATGCTGTATTCAGAAAACATACAGTTTTTCTGTATGTGTACAATTGGATGTGTTTGCCACTATCTTTATATGACAAAATATGGGAAAAAAAATAGGGGACTTTGTACAGAAGAAAATTTACTAATAATGTGCTGTCAGTGTTCTTGATATTTTTTTTTCCCACAGAATAATTTACACTTTCTTATCACGGGTGCAGCCTCTTGTTCCTTTCAGCTAACAGTGACAGGTTCAGTCCATGAGACATAGTATCTGTTTTTTCTGCGCTCTCATTTCTCTTCCTTTTCACCTTACCTCTGCTTGTGATGAGCATTTAAATACTTTCCGTTCTGTCCCACTCAGGTAATGGAAAACTTGCCAGCATGCCGGCTGGGGGAGCTGTGGCAGCCTCTGCTGGAGGGGGCTCTGCTGCTCCTGCTGCAGCTGCTGCCCCTGCTGCCGGTGAGTATGGGTGGAGAGGCATTGTTACAGGGCAGCTCCGTTTTTCTCTGTTAAAATCTTAACAATTGAGTCCAAATTTCAAGGCTTTTCCACTTTGGCAGTTCACTACGTGACTAAGTGTAAACTGAACACTGACTTTTCCTTTGGGCATTCAGAAGCATTTGCTCTTTATCCACCTTAAGATTGGTCTGGCTTAGAACCGAGAATCAAACAGACTTCACTGTGTAAAGTACATCCCTTCAATAGTAGTGTCTGTGTCTCCTCAGTGTTTATACTTGGCTATTGAAAGGGAATGAGATAAACCATGGAGGCTGAAATACCAATAATATGGAAGCTGAGAACACCAAAACATGTATCTTGAAAATCTGTGGTGCAAAAAATGTAAATACTGACCATTGGCTTGGTCTTTTTTTTTTTTTCCCCCCTTCAGCTGAGGAGAAGAAAGAAGAGAAGAAGGAGGAATCTGAAGAATCTGACGATGACATGGGATTCGGCCTATTTGATTAATTATTTGTTATAGAGAAATTATTAAAATTCTTTGTTTTAAATGTTTTTTTTAGTTTATTATTATAACCATACAAGCGCTATTGGATTCAGACAGCTGTTCTTAAAATAGCTCTGACAAAGCTTTGATTTTTATCTCTGAAACAGGTATGTGAATTTTATGAAAAGCGATGGGACTCGACTCTCTTTAAAGTACTTAGGAAATGGCTAAGCTTGTGTGAACCTGGATGCTTGTTTTGACACTTCTGTTTCTTAAACAGTATGTGGAAGCTGAATCTACCTGATCTTAACTTAAGTTCACCTTCTCCGTACTATTTTGCCATCCCCTCTACTCAGGAAAGAGTCCCATCTATTCAGCAATAAAAGGACTTTATTTTTCATGATCTGTTTAATCAATTCCAAAACATGTGAAACTGAATGGACACTAGGTCTGAATTAGTCCAGAAACATTTTCATTTCAGAGCTAGCTGAAATGTAAATAAACCAGTAATTAGTTTTTGTAAATATCTAAAAGCACCAATGTCATTGCTGTGTCAGATTTCCAGCCTCTAGGGACACCACCAGTAAAATACTTGACTATGCTTGGATTTCATGTTACATCCATATGCTTAACATAAAATCTGTAACAAAAAAAAAAAAGTACTGCATCCTGCTCTTCATGGGACACAGATAGAATCCTAGAATCATTAAGGTTGGAAAAGACCTCTAAGATTATCGAGTCCAACCGTCGACCCAACACCACCATGCCCACTAAACCATGTCCCTAAGCGCCTCATCTACACGTCTTTTAAATACTTCCAGGGACGGTGACACAACCACTTCCCTGGGCAGCCTCTTCCAATGTTTAACTACTCTTCCAGTAAAGAAATTTTTCCTCACATCCAATCTAAACCTCCCCTGGCACGACTTGAGGCCATTTCCTCTCGTCCTATCACTTGTTACTTGGGAGAAGAGGCCGACAGATCAATGCAAAGGTGTGCTTCATGCTGAATGGCTGTTCTGGGGGTAGCTGAACTATCGGGACGTGAATCACCTTGATCTGAACAAAAAGAAACTACTTTATGAGGACAATATTTTTGGAGAACTGAAACATCTCTGGTGTGCCCAGAAGAATGCATCAGCTTGGGAGGGCAGTAAATGTTGCTTTTATAAAGCATCTTCTGCTAGGAGATGATTCTGGCAGGCAACTTACCCTGACTTCTACAGCGGCCTTTGGCTGTCACCGTAAGTAGGTAGAGTACAAGTAGCACATGTGATGATCTTCCCATGCCAAGTCTCCACAGGTAGCGTCAAAAAGAGGTGTCCTGGAGCAGTCTATACTGTGAAGCTTTTCTAACAGTTGTTTTGGGAAAAAAACCAAACACGCTAGCCGACACAGCTATGTTAGTTATGAGTCATTGGACAAAGCACGGAAAGTACTTCTGAGAGGAGAGATGGGTGAAATCCAAGTAGGAAAAACTATTTTATCTCGCTGTGGTGTACTGAGAGAAAACGCTTGTTACTTCACAGCAGCCAAGGGAGAGAACAGTTGAAAGTTAGATCCTCAGAATGGCCGTGATTTAAGCAACTAACCCTTGCTGCCCTTCTGTGCCTGCTGCAAGATGGAGTTACAGGAGGTAACAGTGCCAGCACCTGTCATCTACTTTGTCTCTTAAGTCCTAGCATGGTGATCTTTGTGGTAATAATGAAAACTGCTTGTGTCAGACTCATAATGGCTGTGGTTTGGCACTGGAAGGGGTGCAGGTATACCTGTGTTTCTTTCCTTGCTGATTTCTCCGTTTCAGATCACTGGAAAAGAGTGGTTCTTGGATGTGGTTTTACTGAGAGGTAACCACCCCCACCCTGCAATATTGCCTTGCTTGGCTGCTGCAAAAGCAAAGTCAATGTTTTCACAGGGAGGAACTGCCCTGTCACACCACTCAGCAGGATTTTTCCATGCACAAAGGAATTTGTTTCAGTGGCACTGAGCTATTCCATGAGTTTTACCTGTGGGATGAGACTGAAACCTGTGGTGCCAGCTGCTGGCTGCTGTGATGAGGGGAGGACTACGGCTGCATCTAGACTGACTTCTTTCTTCCCCCTATTTTTCTCTATCTTCTCCCTATGACCTGTTAAACCTTGAGTTATGGACCTGATCCTGTGCTGGGTGTCCTCTTATCACCTTTAAATTCCCGCCTGAAAGTGCATCATTTTCATGAAAACTCCTGTTGCTCAATCTGCTTTGAGAAAGAGAAGGACAGCTCATTTGGTAAACTGTTCAGAGAAGGGGACAACTCTCGGAGAAAGCACTGAAAATACAGCATTTGTTAACACTGCCACAAGGAGCCAATGTATTTTACATAACCACCCTGTAGGTATTCCTTGTGAAGGTCAGGGGACAGGTCTACTCCAAGATTTCACACACATTTTATAGAATTTGCTAAAACCTCTGCACGGTGAATTTTCCATTCTTCCAAATGCAAAATCAAAGCATTTTAAGCTTTCTTCCCCTGTACCTATTTACGAAACAGTTGTCACCTGATGGCTTTGTACATGAGCGGTGATGTGCCTGGAAGCCTGTTGCAGACTTGTTTGGTGCTCTGGATGGAGTTCACCACTCTGTTCTGCTGATCTCTGTGAGCTTCAGCTATGAAGGTGTTGGGATCACCGCTCCTGCTCTGTGGACACTGTTCTGAATTTTCAAGTGTCACTGATGCCTTTTCAGACTTAGCAATGATTTCCAAAGGCAAGGGTAGTGGTGGGGTGGATGCGTTGTATTCCATGATGCTCTCAGAGAAAACTAGTGCCTGCAAACACTTGGAGTGGTGGCCTAGCCTGTCCCCTTGCAGAATCAATTTTAGCTAGAATAGATTTTTCCTGACTTCTTCATAAAGACATTGAAGGGAAAGAATAGGATAGCTTTGTGCCTGGAGATTGCACTGGTAACTGATCATTACTAAATTGACGGTAGGGGAGAGTGATTTAGTCATAGGCTTGACGTTGAAACATGCGAGCTTTCCTCACTGGGACACAAATGCTGCGCCATCTCTAATCAGTTCTGACTGAAAATCATTCCTTACAAATACTATGGGGCAGGGAGAGTGACATGACATCTTCACTACTTGGAAAGCAGGGAGAATGTCCTGGACACTACTGGAAAGTAATAAGCAACGGCTCCCTGGGGCCACTGTCAAATTAACTGCTTTCACTCTTACTACTAAGGCCAAATTTTGCAAGCTGCTAACATGCAGGCA